TTCATCTGAGCGGGACAGTGCTCCATGCAGCGTCTTCATCTGTGATCCAGTGCACACGGCTGCAAGTGCTGCAGACCTCTGGCTCCGTCTCACCAGAGAAAACTGTGACTTCATCATTCAAGTAATAATGATGAGTAGGCCTGTTTATGTTTTTTTCTTTTGATATATTCCAACAGAAGGATCTTAGGAAATAAAGAAGTCAGGGATTTATAGCTGCATCTCAACTATTCGGTAGAGGCCTATAATTAAAATAACTAGGGGTTAATAAGACGAACCAAAAACATAATATTAGCTATTAATGCTCCTATCTCAGAACATCAAAAGAATTAAAAATGTGCATTGCTTTCTTCTAGGAGTGAACATTAAAGATAGATAGATACTTGATGATCCCCGTAGGAGAAATTCAGGTGTCCAGTAGCAGCCAAAATAAAACATAAAATTTATCATTCTAAAAAGTTAAAAATAGTTATAATCAGCAACAGCCCTTCATGTCACAGCAGAAGAGGTGGAGTAGCCTCTGGGTGGAGCAGGACGGGTCACAGTAGCAGAGGTGGTGTAGCCTCTGGGTGGAGCAGGACGGGTCACAGCAGCAGAGATGGAGTAGTCTTTGGGTGGAGCAGGACGGGTCACAGCAGCAGAGATGGAGTAGTCTTTGGGTGGAGCAGGACGGGTCACAGCAGCAGAGATGGAGTAGTCTTTGGGTGGAGCAGGACGGGTCACAGCAGCAGAGATGGAGTAGTCTTTGGGTGGAGCAGGACGGGTCACAGCAGCAGAGATGGAGTAGTCTTTGGGTGGAGCAGGACGGGTCACAGCAGCAGAGTTGGAGTAGTCTTTGGGTGGAGCAGGACGGGTCACAGCAGCAGAGATGGAGTAGTCTTTGGGTGGAGCAGGACGGGTCACAGAGGAAGAGATGGAGTAACCGCTGGGTGGAGAAGGACGGGTCACAGCAGCAGAGGTGGAATAGTCTTTGGGTGGAGCAGGATGGGTCACAGCAGCAGAGGTGGAGTAGTCTTTGGGTGGAGCAGGACGGGTCACAAGGTGGAGTAGCCGTTTGGTTCGGACCTAAAGGGTTAATAAGAAAAACATTTATAGTTTATAGTATACACTTTTAATATATCATGATTACAGACCGTGTTGGGCACTGGGGAGAACCCAGACACATGAGATTGCGGCTATAGCTCGGTCTTACTCCTAAACACACGACTGCAGAAGCGCACTGTGGATCCTTAGTGGAATTATTACTTCAGATCAACTTTATTGAATTACACTTTCATGAAGCAGTTCTGTCTGTGGCTGATTCATCTCACCTGAAGTCAAAAATGAAATGAATGCAGTCCGTCTCTTGTGCCCCGATGGGTTTACACAAGCGCTGTAGTAAACTTGTTCTTTAAATATAGACCTATAGTAATGCTAACTTTTTCTGTTTCTGATATTTGCAGTAGGCTGTAAATATCCGCCACAATCGTTGGCTATTCTTGTTTTTGGCGTTTCCAGTGATCAGCTGATGTGTGGCCTGAGCCTGTAAACAGCTGGACCCGGAACTTCTCCAGCTCAGTGGACTCAGATGCAGTAAATTCTGATTAACTCCAGTATTAACTTAAACAAAGTTAGATCAAATCATGGGATACTTTTTTATTACATTACATATATATAACTAAAAAAAGTAAAAACAAATTTGAGTACTGTATCAAAACATTACATATACTTACCCAGACCACACATTTCTGCTTCAATGTGAATGAATATTGAAGGTCATAGATATATTTGTCACATGTTAACTGCACAGACAACAACATTAGGAACCAGTTTCCTCTGTTCTTAGTTAATAAAACAACTTAACAACAAAAGCTACTGTTCCAAAGTGCTGTCCGGTTTGTTTTGAAGTTTGAAGAACAATGTATCTTCATGTAATGTGTAATATTTCTTCTTCTTTTAAGTCTTTAGAGTTTGGACACATGTACTATGCCCGTCACATCACAAACACACAAAAGCTGCACACAGCCATTCAAAACTCACTCTGCACACATTTAGTTTATGTGAGATTCACACGTCTCTTGCACACACACACTCAAAAACAAAAACACATTTGTATTTTTGAAATAGTGATATTCATTGAGATTGAAATCGGCACACAACTTAAATTATTTAATCACTTGACAATTTCTTTTTAAAAAGTGTGGAAAGACATTTATACGTTTATGTTACATAGAGAAATGTTACAGGTATAATATTCACAAACAATCATTTAAATTGAATTGAATATGAAAATACTTGCGCAGTTTGACTTCTCATCAATAGTTCTTAACATTGTTCAGTTCTGCTTCAGGCAGGTTTTGAGAGGTCGGTAGTTTTGGGAAATCCATCTATCCATCCATCTTCTTCCTCTTAATCCATTTCTGGGTTGGGGGGTGGCAGTCAGAGCTGCACCCAGTACACAGAGCACCAGCCCCTGACTGATTCTCCTGCATATGGTGAGTCCACAGCAGTGGGGGCGGGTCCCGGCTCAAAAGTGGCCAAAATGATGTGCGCTGACATGCTTGCAATACCACCCCGGGCCGATGGGGGTGGACCCAGAATAAGAATTAGCCAATGCTAACATATAGCATCTTCTTACCTCACAAAAACGATGGTCCAAAGTTGGCTCTTGGCCCAAAGCTCCGTTCCACGTGTGTGTCAATTCTGAGGGGAGCTCCATGAGAGCCTAATTTTTGGCCCATTATTTAGAACGGCGGAGATAGGCGTGACTACGTCTGTTAATATACAGTCTATGGTCCACAGGAGCTGAGATCTTCCAGCGGGGCTTCAAGCAAAGTGGAGTTAAGTGTCTTGCCCAAGGACACACCGACAGCAGTCATCAGTGGGAGTCGTGTTTTGGGAAATTAAAACATAAAATGATGAAATGTACTCAAAAGTATATACGATCATTACAGCCTGCTGTTTTATATTAAATTAGTATAATAGATTAACCTTTTCTCCAACTCGCTCTGGCTCCTGTTGACTTACATTGAAAAATAACCATCGCTCAGTAACCATTTGTTTCCCACTCACCATTTTGGGTTCAGCGCTTTTTGTGATATTGATATTGTTTTTGTAAATCCAGATATAAACTCTGGACTAATCCTCAAGAAATGTCACAAAGTTTCACATTGTTTTTGTCAGCAGATATCAACTATGATCTATCTTCTAATGATTTCACATTAAAGTGTTTAGAAGAAGTGACAACATTCAATAAAACGTATGTAGGGTGTTAGCCAGTAGAAAGGACTTTTAAACACAAGAATAATATGATGGGTTTCAATAATGATCTTTTGTCTGAATGACTATTCAGACAAATGGCTTTGTCTGAATAGTTTCTATTTCAAAATTGCTTTCAAAAAATGCTTTGTTCCCATAGAGTTGTATTGGTGCCTGCTCTCCAACTCAAATGGATGGTGTGCCTCTTTATTACACTGCAAAAAGGGATAAAAGAGTAGTCAATAAATGCTCAAATTTGGCAAATTGTATCTTAATTTGAGCACATACTGACTGACTTAAAACCAAATTTTCCAATGGGACAAGCAAAAAGATCTTGTTTTAAAAAGACACAAGAAATGTCTTCCTTGGAATGGGAAAAAAAAGCCACATTTCCTGACATAAGACTAAATGGCTTTGTCCCATTGGAAAATTTAGTTTACAGGCAGTCAGAATGTGCTCAAATTAAGATAAAAACCACTTTATTCAAGCAATAATTACCTCACATGTTATCATTTTTGCAGTGTATTGTGTGCAGGTCCAGGAACAGTGTCTAATATACTTATTTTGTATATATTGTGTGTGCTCCCTGTGTGCTCTTACTACTGTCCTATATGTGCGATGCAATATCAAAATTTCCCCACTGTGGGACGAATAAAGGAATTCTTATCTTATCTTCATCTAAAAAAACTAGTGATGTTTAGTTTGTTTTGCCTTAATGGTAGCAGCATATTCCTGCAGAGCTCTTGTGTTTCAGCCTCACTAACAGAGAAGCGTGTTTCAGTGAAAGGCATGTAGTCTGTACACGATTCTCTGCTGTGAAGCTGCAGGAGTCTGCTGCTCCTGCTCGCTCTTTAATATTTGATAGTGCACCGCCTGGCTGCCCACTTTGTGAGCTTTACATCTGACATCAGACTTCACCTCACGGACTGGGCCAAGTTTATTCTAATGTTTTTTATGTTAATTAATTGTGATCTGTGTGATAAGTTATTGTGGCATTGGTTATGGAACTGGTCACCACTGACACAAGGCTCTACACTGCAAAAATGATATAATATGAGTTGATAAATGCTTGAATCGAGTGGTTTTTTTCTTAATTGAGTACATTCTGACTGTCTTTAATCCGTTTCTTGTATCTTTTTAAAACAAGATCATTTTGCTTGTCCCATTGTTTTAAGGCAATCAAAATGTGCTCAAATTTGAGCAATATTTGACTTCCTTTTCATTACTTTTTGCAGTGGGGGCTATTCTGATGTCCGTAGAGGTGTATTCTGTTGTGAAGCTTTCTCAGTCGCCAACTTCATATGGCCAGCTCGGGCAAAGTTTCATGTTTATATAGGTTTCTTGTTATTTTTGTTATTCATGTTCCTATATGGCCTTAGCATTGACTTTACCAAGCAACAACTAACAAGCATAGTTCACATTGACGGTGTGTGTTTTTGGCGTTACAAAGAAAATATTTAGTTCAGCTTGTGTGTGTATTTAAAAGTCATTAACATAAGTAAGCAACATGTTTCGTGTTAACTCCCTTTCTAAATGTCACCACAGCAGGCGCCCGGCAGACACTGATATTGATATTGAATATGACAGACTGCGAGTGATGACACCTTAGTCCAGTCTCATTTTCCCTGTAATGGATCTGCTTCGGCGAGTGTGCTCTGCCACCACATGAATCCTTTTCATTTTGTGATGTGTCATGTCTTTGCAGGTCTAAGGGAAGCGGTTCCTACTCGGTCCCTTCTTGCGAGTCCTGCTCACACGTGATCAGCATGAAGCCAGCCGCTCTGTTCCTGCTGTCCCCTCTCCTCCTCCTCCTCGTCTGCTTGCTCCTTCCCAGTGGCTCCGCTCAGAGTGAACCCGACCTGGTGGTGCAAACCCACACAGGGAAAGTGCGCGGGGTTCGGATGCCAGTGCCAGACAGAAACTACGTCACCGCTTTCCTGGGTATCCCCTTTGCCGAGCCGCCCTTGGGGAAGAGGCGGTTCCGTCCGTCCGAGCCCAAGCGCAAGTGGGATGGGGTGTATGAGGCGGTGGCCTACCCCAACGCATGCTATCAGTACGTGGACATGACGTTCCCCGGCTTCCAGGGCAGCGAGATGTGGAATCCCAACAGGGAGATGAGTGAGGACTGTCTGTACTTGAACGTGTGGGTTCCATCTTCACCGCGGCCCCATAACCTGACCGTGATGGTGTGGATCTATGGAGGAGGTAAAGGACCGGCTGTTTCTCCAATGCATTGCACGTTTGATCACGGCGTGACCTAGCATCTATGTCACGTTCCAAATGGCCTCTGCAGACATTGTCCTCACTCCTCCATTTGGTTTGCAAGGGGCTGATTTACCAAGGTTACATCAGTTTTTCATTGCTCCAGCAAGCTACCCACAATGCACCATGATCTTTATTGGAAAGTGAAAAGAGGAAGATTTCTTACGCTTTTTAATCATTGTAAGTTTAGTTAAGATATCATTGGCAAGAACTGTAACTGTAACTGTAAGCCCTATTTAGTAAATATATAAATATATGTATCATAAAACACGGGTCTGGAACTTCTTTAGGATTTTAGAGTAAAATACGTAGGTTTATGGATTGATTTGTCTTAAATAGTTTTGTTACACTGATGCTCTCTACCTTTTGAACTGGTGTTTTAGACATAAAGTAAATTAATAACGATAACTTGCAGAACATTACTGTTTATATGAACTTTCCCAGTGCTTACGTCCAACTTCTTGCTGAAGTAGTAATATAATTTGTGCTGTCAGGCTTCTACAGTGGCTCCTCTTCGCTGGATGTGTATGATGGAAGGTACCTCGCCCACAGTGAGACTGTGATTGTGGTCTCCATGAACTACAGGGTCGGTGCCTTTGGGTTCCTTGCTCTCCACGGTTCTTCGGAGGCTCCTGGAAACGTCGGTCTGCTGGATCAGAGGTTGGCTCTCCAGTGGGTACAGGACAACATACACTCTTTTGGTGGAAACCCTAAACAGGTTTGTTACATGGAACATCAAAATGAAAAGATTGTTTTGCATACTACTCATTTCCTTTCTAACAGGTGACCATATTTGGTGAGAGCGCTGGTGGGGCATCAGTGGGATATCACCTCTTGTCTCCGGAAAGCAGACCCACTTTTACTCGGGCCATCCTGCAGAGTGGTGTTCCTAACTCCCCCTGGGCCTCTGTCAGCCCTGCAGAGGCGAGGAGGCGAGCTATGGAGTTGGGCAAACTGGTTGGCTGCAACGGGGGCAATGACACAGAGATGGTGGACTGTCTCCGCAGTAAAACTCCACAGGAACTGATCGACCAGGAGTGGCAGGTACAGTTTCCTCTTATCAAGCCTCTAATATGACACAGGTCCTAATTTGCATTAGCTCTCAGCAGGTCTATAGTTAATTTAAATTGTACTGCTTTCATGTGGGAGCTCATAAAGCTGCACTAACTGACTTTATTTTTGTATTCATTGCAAAAATTCAATCCATATCCTTGCAATGCATTGGGATATACGTCCTTTTTAAGAAAAAGTAGCGCAGATTTGTGCTGGCGTGTCATTTTATTTTAGATCAAGTTTTGGTGAAGAGAATTTGTTTCGGGTTCCAATTGTGACATATCACAGCGGACCACTGGCCCACAGGTCTCTCGTTAGCACAGACAGCTAAGGTAAACAAGCGGCCGGGGCTAACCTGAAGCTTCCAGTGTCTTCGTTACCGGTTACTGCTTACACAGCGAAAAACAGCCATCCAAAAGAAAGTCTCGTTCCTCCGCGCTTTCCGGTTCAATCATTCAATGGTCACGCCATCCACGTCCAAATGTGTCCATATTGTGAGACGTGAGCTCCATATACAGTTAGCATCAGCAGAGGCTGAGGAAGTGGGGGGCGAAAGCTCCGTGCGGGAAGGGCGAGCAGAGAGAGCGAGCTCAGCATTCTGATTCGTAAGTTTCTCAAAGTCAGTCAGTGCAGCTTTAATGCCAACTGTCATAATTAGATTCAGAAAGCTTTTGACAATAATAGGGATGCAAAATAACTTAATAAGAGACACCAAAAACATAGGTGTGGCTGATTTAACTGGAATGATCTTATATAGAAAGAGCAACTGTGTTGCATGACAGAAGAAGTAAGTAAGTAATCTTTATTTATATACTGCCTTTCATTGACCAGAGTCACAAAGCGGTTTACAATTGTGCGCATTTGTCCTCTCACTCCACACAGAGATAGGAGCGGGGTCGCCAGTACAGGAGGCACATGCCAGAACTTATGGTACATGTTTTTAGTGGTAGGGGAAAACCGGAGTACCCGGAGGAAACCTACGCAGACACAGGGAGAACATGCAAACTCCACTCAGAAAGGCCCTGTTCCAACCACGACTTGAACCCAGGACCTTCTTGCTGAGAAGTGAAAGTTCAAGCCACCGTGCCGCCCAAAAAAGGACTCTCCGGTAGACGGGTGTACGTGTGTCATTCTGCTCATGATCCAAAACATAAACTTAGTGAAACAGAAGTAGAAGGTTTTGCCACGGCCATTCAAATTACATGACCTGAATCTGACTCAACCTGCATTTCACTTGAAGACAAAGCTGATGGGAAAATGCCTCCTGAACTGAACACCATCGCAAGAGCAGCAGAGCAACTCCAGGGATGAAACTTAGTCCAATTGAAGCAGTCTATAGTTTACTTTGAGCTTCATGTAGCAACAAAGCACTGGTTCACTATAGTCGCCTCACTTAACTGACTTTTTTTGTAAAATAGATCGGTCATGTCATGAGCACTGAGGCTTAGGTTTGATTTTAGGAACATTAGGTTGTCCCCTTTACTAATCACATTACTGTCCCGATGTTTTGTAACATGACCATGACATTCATAAATCACTTCTACACACGTTGTTTTTGAACTTCGACTTGTTAAGTGGTTTTGAATCGCTAAAACAGCAAATAAAGATCACAAATGTTGACAAATCAGAGCTAACACCGACTCACTTTGCATGGATTAGAGCCAATACCTAAAATGGGTTCCAGCTTTTAAAATATTATACAAACAAGGACTTAAGGACTAGTTGAAACCGTGTGTCTCCATCCGATAAAACATGACCAGAACTGGAGCGCAAACTACAAAGGTCTGAAAATAGTACTTTAAAACCCTAACTGTATTTCTGCAGGTGATGCCATGGTCTGCCCTTTTCCGCTTCTCATTCGTCCCTGTCGTGGATGGTGACTTTCTGCCGGACACTCCAGAAGCCATGCTCTCCTCGGGAAACTTCAAAGACACTCAAATCCTGCTCGGAGTGAACCAGGACGAGGGCTCCTACTTCCTGCTCTACGGTGCTCCGGGATTTAACAAGGACACAGAGAGCCTCATCTCCAGGGAGGAGTTTCTCGCAGGTAAATCTTATTGTAAATATTGGAATTTTTGCAGACAAACCCTTCAAATGAGACTTGTCCATTGTTGTTGAGCAGGTGTTAAACTCAGTGTGCCTCATGCTAACGACATCGGCCTGGAGGCGGTGGTGCTGCAGTACACAGACTGGATGGACGAAAACAACGGAGCCAAGAACAGAGATGCCCTGGATGATATCGTAGGAGACCATAATGTCATCTGTCCACTGGCGCACTTTGCACACTCCTACGCCCAGCACAACGCCCTCAAGACCAACATGGGAGGGGCCAACTCTGGAGTGGTGAACAGCGGCGGGAACTTAGGTGTGGCTAGCATTGTTGGACACGTTTATCTTGTTTTGAACTCAGGTGTTTTTAGGATGAGGAGATCTTTTATTTTTTTTGCCACAGTGGGGAAATTTTAGTGCTGCAACACCGGTTACAGAATAGTAGAGCTAACTTTAGCATAAAAAAGAAGCTAGTATAAAATCTGTAGCTTTAGCATTATAAAGAAGCAAGTATAAAGTGAAATCTCTAGCTTTAGCATAGTGAAGAAGCAAGTATAAGATCTCTAGCTAACCACTTAGCAACAACCGGCGCGCCGGCGGCCGTTTTTATGTTTTTAAATGTTCTGCTGGCAATAGCAGATGTATTTTGAACACCAAACCCCAAAAGCTGTATATCATTTTAAAGCTTATTTTCTTATCTACATTTATATACAAGTAAAAAGTAAACTACATCAGACTTTGCATTCAAAAGATATAACACATAATGTGGGCACAAAATAAATCAATTCCGAAATAGTTTTTTACCTTTGGGCTTGTGCTGTACAAATAAATCAGCTCTCCTCCCAGCTTGCAATACATCATTCTCTCTGGAACAGTCCAAAGGAAAATTATATCCACTTGTATTTCCCAAAGTAAAATCCATTCTGCAGAAATAATCCAAAAATGTGCATTTATCTTTAGCAAAAAAAACGAAAAAAAAGAGCACAGATGTTACTCTTTCACTTGTAACGGACTTTTAGCTTGGTTTTTCACCCGAACATCTGGTATCTACGTGTTCCTTAGCTCCTTATCTTTCAAATGAGACTACTCCCGAAAAGCTAGACCAATTTTTGGGTCTGCAATAGGTCCCGCAAGTACCGCTAGTGCTGCTGTTTGCGCATTGGTGACTGATCTTTTGTGGGGTCCCAACTTGTTTACGTTTACTTCTGGGATTTACGATTGACATGTCCTTGTAGCCAATGAGGAAAGCTTTCGAACAAGGGGTGGGACAATGGTGTCCTGTCTTTTGTTGGGCCTGGACAATTGTGCGTACTGGAAGATAAAAGACGCTCTCGAATCTGCAATGAATTTACACTCATAAAAAAATAACTTTGACATTTAAAAAAGAAAAACACACATAGATTAGTAACTTATAAGTACCAATAATAAAAAATATTTTTTTTATGATGATTAAATGTAAGTAAAGATATTTGGCACAATTTGGCACAAGTGTGCACTACTTGATGAAAAGGAGAAACTGCATAAAAACTATAAAACTTAGAAGTCTGAAACTTTAGACAGTTGTTGTCAACAACACAATGAACAGAGGGTTTGAATATTGTGAACTTACAATGAAGTATGCCTTTTTTAGGGCCTTTAGAAATTGAAAATGTTAGGCGAGGCTAAAAAAATTGGGTTTTTTTCCCTAACTTCAAAGGATGCAGAGGAAAATAGGAATGACAAACATTATTTTAGTGTTTTTTTACATAAACTAGAAGGCTCTAGCTTTAAAATGATGCATCACACAAGCATGTGAGATGTAAGATGTGTTTTTAAATAAGCAAAGACATTTGGGTATGCCCAACCATTGTGCACGAGCCAAAATGAGGCGGATGTTAAGAGGAAGCAAGTGTAAAAAATAAAATCTCTAGCTTTAACGAGAAAGTAAAGAAAGCAAGTCTAAAATCTCCAACTTTACCATAATGAAGTAGCAACAATTATGTAACATCTCTCAGGCATACCTTCGCATAAGTAAGTATAAAATCTATAACCTTAGCATATTAAAGAAGCTAATATGAAATACGATATATTTCGTCGCAAGAAATATATAGTCCATAAGACCTACTTAGATAAGGCAGATCATAATGCCAGTTTGATTAGTGGCTTAAGATCGCTTCTTCAGTTTCTCCTATTGATTTTGTCGAGCAATTTCACCACATTTTATGCACACAGAGATAACTTATTATTCTTTCCAACTTAACCTTTCTATTGTTGTTTTGTACCATGTCTTTCTAGGCGGGGTCTACCTCTACTTGTTTGACCACAGAGCGTCCAACCTGGCGTGGCCTGAGTGGATGGGTGTCATTCACGGTTACGAGATTGAGTTTGTGTTTGGGCTGCCGCTGGAGAAAAGACTGAACTACACTTTAGAGGAGGAGAAACTCAGCCGACGCATGATGAGATACTGGGCCAACTTTGCACGGACCGGGTAAGAATTCAAACCCGCCTGAAAGTGCTCAGGAAAAGGTTGAGGGGGGCATCTGACTGGTGACTACGACAGCCGGCTTATCTGAGAAATCCAACATTTGTTTTTATTCATTTGAGTAGGACACTGGGGTCTAGCTTTTTTGCAGCATTGGGGGGGTTAATTAGTTCTTTGCTCCACTCAATAAGCTGCTTTTAACTTATTTGATCATCAATAATGTCAAAGGCGACATCACACAAGGCCTCATGCCCTCAAAAAGTCGCCACAGTGGAAGCAGATTTTCACACCTTCCCAAATGAACTTCACTGACTGTTCTGCGGTGTTTTATCCATTTATACATCAGTCAGATTCACTTTGTGTATATTTTATGTCAGAAAGTGTGGGAGTTATCAGAGAGACGAGTGGCGCTCCCAGTGCTTCTACCACACGGCTATTTTAAAAAAAAGAACAGAAAGAAAGAAGAAAGAATAGAAAAAAAAGGGCGGCACGGTGGCTGAGTGGATAGCACTCTCGCCTCTCAGCAAGAAGCTCCTGGGTTCGAATCCCGGTCGGACCAGGAGTTTGCATGTTCTCCCCGTGTCTGTGTAGGTTTCCTCCAGGTACTCTGGTTTCCCCTACCACTAAAAATATGCTCACTAGGTAAAATCCTCCAGCTCCGGTAGTCCTGACCAAGCCGGGCATTAACACCTGGAGATGGGTTCCCGGGCGCTGTACTGCAGCGACCACTGCTCCTGACGTAAGCCTTAGTGGCATCAGGATGGGTCAAATGCAGAGGACAAATTTCCCTACGGGGACAATAAAGTGCACATTTACATTTATTTACATTTACATTTATTCTCAGAACCAGTAATAATCCAGAGTGTGACAAGTCTCTGCTAAAACATACTGTAAATCTTTAACGCTGGGATCTATTTGCTTGATGCATCTCCTCAGAGAGAAGTTAGTTACTGATGATGTGTTTTGTCTGTAGGAATCCCAACGTAAACCACGATGGGCTGATAGAGAGCAGGAAGCGCTGGCCTCTGTTCACACTAACGGAGCAGAAACATGTGGGACTAAACACAGAGCAGATGAAGATCCACCGGGGGTTGAGGAACCAAATGTGTGCCTTTTGGAACCGCTTTCTACCTCGGCTCCTCAACATCACTGGTAAAACCTGCAGTGTCTCAGTTTGCGTTTTTTATAAAGCTTCTTAAAATAAAACCATGACAAGAATGGTCATTTGCCATTGTATGACAAATGACTCTTTTCTGTTCCAGACAATATTGATGAAGCTGAGCGTCAGTGGAAGGTGGAGTTCCACCGCTGGTCCTCCTACATGATGCACTGGAAGAGTCAGTTTGACCACTACAGCAAACAGGAGCGCTGTACTGACCTCTGAGTGCCCAGAGGAGAGAGTGCTGGGGAGGAGGCACAGAGCTATGGCCATTTTCCTCCATAGTCCCTCAGTGAAGTCTAACTTCATTCAAAAGCTTTTCTGGTTCAGTAAACAGAGTCATAGACACTGTGAATTTTCTATTTATTTATATATATATTTATTTATTTAATTAAGCTTGTTTTTGTTTGTGACTCTACAAATATGAGGGGTTATGGTGGGAACTTGTCATCATTGTGGAGAAATGTCAAGATGTGTCATTACCTCGAGTGTGTGCGTGCGTGTGTGTGTCTGCGTAAGTGTGTGACTGTGACTGGAATCAAAGGTCCATGACGGTGCACCAGTGCTGGCTTTACTTCTTTGTCAGTGTTTCTAGACTCTCCGTCACATCAGGGATATATTTGGACTCAAACATATGTGTCTGTAATTTCTGTCAGCATCTGCTGCTAATGTCTGTCCAATTCTTGCCAAACATGTGTGAAGGTAAAATGTAGAATATTATAGTAGACACTACACATTCAGCTTGTCTTGAGCTCACGGGCAGATACCAAGCCCCTTGGTACCCGCCCTGTCTGTACCTGTGTTCGTTTGGCAGTGCTTCCAGTAAATGCTTTATCTCCTTCATGCAAGGTCCCATTGTCTGCCACTTGAAATACTTAGTAAGGAGCCTGATATAAGCTATTATATTACAGACTTGATGGGCATCAGCATCGGGCATCAGTTGGAGAATGCCAGTCCTCACTGCTTTGCAGCCTGTTTTTAATCTGACATTAATACCATACTAGCATACTATAACCACTATAGGGTGGCTGCAATCTACACCGTAGGCTTATGTTTCTTATTTTGTTCTTCATATTGCTGTACAACAGTAGAAGTATATTTTAGTGTAACTCCATGTTGTTGATGATCCTTGCATCTGTCCTTGTGTCGTGTGTCTGTCCCAGGTCGATCGTGCGCCCGCCTCTCCATCTTCGTCCTCTTTAATCCTGCAGCTGTCCTTTCTGTCTCCTCCTTGCCCTTCTCTGCTCTGTGTTTCATCCTTCACTCCTGCTCTCCTCCTCTTCCTCACTTTGGTCCCTCTTCATTATGTTCAACTTTTTCTTTCCTAGTCACTTTGTGCCCACTCTCCTCCCGTATCCACGCGTGCTCCCCTCCCCCACATGCCCCCTCCTTGCTCCTTGCTTGTGCTTTCTCGTTAGTCTAATGGAGGCAGAGTAATTCACTGAGCCACAGGATAATGTGACAGAGCGCTGGCTCAGCCTCTGGGCTGCCAGCAAACAGGAACACTGGATGGATAGATGGGCGGAGGGTGGATGCGGAAAAGCTAGACGAGGGGCAGTGAGAGGGAGGAGAGCTGGAGGACAGTTGATTCGATTAAAGATGACGAAAGCTTTTGAAGAAAAGCACTGTTGCATAACTCCACAACAAACTTCACTCTTTCAGGGGAGAACAGACAGACGGGTTTCTATGTTTGTGTTCTGGAATTGTGCTCACCTTAAAGCCCCAGAAGGGATCTTTTCAGACAAAAAGATGGACGCATTTAAAAAGATTAATACTTTTACTGTGGCACAAGGGTTCCTCTGGAGTTCAATTATTGATTTGATTTTGAATCCACATTCTCAAATTCTTTTTGGGTCATCATTTAGAGCATTCGTACAAATAGTGCAGTGCTATTTAATGGTATGGTTTAAATGTTTCCACCTCTCAAAAGTTGCAGACTGTTGCATTGATAAGGAAACTGGAACATTTATGATAAGATGAAAGTTTAAGGCATGGAACCCTTGAGTTGCTCACAAACCAAATAGTATAAGTCTAACCCAATTAATGTCCGTTTTAGTCATTGTGTTATAGCTATATGTCCAAGATTCCATTGTTTTAATCGTTTTAGTCAAATCAAGGGGCATAAGTCTTCTTTGCGTAGATTCAGTGATATTAAGTCTGCTGGCCTGGCTCTGCTTGTGGTTGTCCCTGTGTGTTCCATAGTACCTTTGTCTCCTCCCTTTAATAAATGTGTGTGTGTGTTCTATTGTCGCCCTTTCTCCATCTGTCCAGTTACTTGCCATTTTCATGTCACATTGGGAGAAAGTTGTTCCTGCACTGTGAATCGTGGTTGTCCCAATGAAGTGCACTATGTTGGCATGTAAAGCTATATATGGACTGGAATAGTAAAGTCCGGCTTTAAAAAAACAAAAACGATGATTACAATTAACATACCAGTTATGAATGCATGTGTGATTGGCAGTGTGAGTGACAGCTCATTCCCATCCAATGGGAGACCACGCTTACGCCTCCCAAGTACCTCCTAATCAAACCCCTGTGCATGCCCTTGTGTCCTGCCAAAAACTGGACTGTTATTTTATGTAAAGTTTGTACTTTTTAACAAAGCTATTTATGAGAGTAACTAATATATCTGTAATGTTTTATGTTTGATGTTAGCAATAACATAAATACATAAGTTAAGGAATATATTTGATATTTAAATGCAATGAAATTATAATTATGATGATGGATAGAGGTTGTGTTTTGAAGCAATATTATCCTAAGTATAAACTGAAATGAGTGCCATAAACCTTTTTATTGTGCTTTGCAGTTGATTTAACTGTGTGTCAGTCCTCAGCTGTTGTCTGTTCAAATCACTAGTACTGTAAGTGTTCCCACTACGTCTCCGTGTTTCATGAATGCTGACTTGGTTACGCTCTAGCAACAGAATAAACACACTGCTGCTTCTGTCCAACAAACGGCTTGATTCCATTCATTTATCTTTACTCTTCCTACTGCACATGTTATCATTCAGTTAAATGTATTTTTGTACAGCTCTAAATCACAACAGGAGTGGTGTCTGGACTTTACAAAGTTATCAATTCACCAACAACAGATCAGAAAATCAAACACTTGACCTTATCCAGCAGATTATACAGCTGGATAAGGTCAAGTCATAATTCAATATCAACAATGTTCAATCCACACAAGGTTTGGGTTTAGATTCATTATAAATTATAAAAGATGATCGATGTCACTATACTGTAATATATCACGATTTTATTTGTTTATTTATTACGAAACCTGCACAATATTTTAACATATATCAATTTTATATCAAGCACTAGAATTCAATACAACTGTTCAGTACAAACTGTAATTTGATACTACCATCGATTGTATTAGACAGACATCATAAAAAAGTAATGCTCATAAAATCATTTTGTCAATTTATTAATTTAAAATACATTATTAAGTTTTGTGCAGTCTGTGTTTGCATCAGCATGTATTTTTTACTGAAGATATTATTTCACATTCTAAAACACGACTCGGCAAAGTAAATAGTCTCATTATCCTTTCAATGTAAAAAATAATGCGTAATATTTATTTTTTTGGCACAGGGGCCACACTTCTGGGTTAGACTGATCTCATTAGTCTTGTCTGGTACTGAAATGTCCCCACCGTGGGACGAATAAAGGGTCTCTCTCTTTTTCTCGTGGGCTCAGTGTCAAATACACCTAATGGTGATGCTGAATTTGGCCTTTGACTGCTGGAAAGTAAGTAAGTAAGTAGTAAGTAAGTAAGCTTTATTTATATACCGCCTTTCAATGATTAGGCTGCATTCTTTAAGTATAAATTAAATTCAGTTCATTGTTGACTATGCTGTCACCTCCTGGTAACAATTGGAACAACATCACAGACATGTTTTGTGTGGTTGTAATATATACTGTTTTATCACTTTTAAAAATAAAGTCTTCTAAAGGTATGTTATCAGTCCTCATGGTTTCACAAATGCAGTGTTCTCCAACCTTTATAGCATCTAGAATCTAACATCTACTGTAATCACACCACCAGCTGAAACTGATACATCAATGAAATTCTGCATGTTTTATTAACACTGCACAGTCCTTGTCATCAAAGTGTATTATATAGAAAATCAGTGTAAATAAGTCTATCTAATCACTTCTTTTCTAATTATTTTGACAAATGAGGTGATATTGGATCACTTCCAAACGCACATCAAACGACATCTCAAGGCCCAGTGACGGTCCACGGTCCAGTGGTTGAAACACACTGTACTAATGTATGGAAGATGGAGTCCTAAAAGTATAATCACAACAAACGGAAGTACAGGCTCTTTTCAAAATAAAACCACGCTACTTTAACTGAATAGATCCCGTTAAACGTGTACATTCTGCACCTGGACCACGGTCATATATTGTGAATAGAAAGAAAATTATAATAAAATAACTGAATTAAAGGAAAAAAAAGGATTATGAAAAAGAGCACGCGCCGTAACCCGGAAGTGCGAGTGCGAAACGTTGTTTGACTGATTTGTTTCGGGTGCGTGAAATTCCTCAAGTTTGAGTCTTTTGTTCGACTTTAGAGACTGAAGATTCTGCTTCTGTACAACTTCAGAGAACTTCCTTTTCTCCGTCACGTTCCGTCGGCACAGACACGCAGACGCTCACAGGAGCCTGGGCCTGGACGCGGACAGTCCGAGGACTCTTTTCTTAAGACAACACATCAAAGTGTAGCTGTGGACAGGGAAGAAGGAGGAGGAGGTATGTGGCTGCACTCCCAACAAGGGCCCCGAAGACAAGAGCCGCAGGACTAACTATAGACTCACGGTGAGGATCGTCCTCCACAACACATTAGATACTGGAGCTGAAACATACAGACAACTATACAGTCACTTATTTCACTTATAATACGTGAGTTGTGCTGCCATCAATTGTTATTGGAGTTTCTTTAAACCCACGGGTGTAGTTGTAAACACCAACAAACCAAACTAGGCCTATAATATAATATCAAAGTTTACTATCTGCTTCTGCACAGTCCAGCGTTAAGAGACATCATACGCAGATGTCACCAGAATCTGAGATCATAGGAGCCACACCTTATTCCAAAAAGTAATGTGTTCCCACAACAGTAGACCTTAAGTACATTATGTATTAGGCCATAGACTGTAAATATTAGGCATAATGATTCCTCGTCTAGTTTGGTTTTACCCAATCGTTGGCAAATGGCAGATTGGAGATGTGTGAAGCACAGTTCAGCTTCTTAACCTTTCCACAAGTCCTGTGGAACCTCTTCATATGTTTACACACTACAGAACATGCTTTATGTACTGTATTGATACCAGCACTGTACATAGACTGACTCATGCTGTGGCCCACTCGTGCTTTTCACTGCCTTTCAAGGAAATCCCCAGTGCCCTTAGAAATTACCCTTTTATCATTTGTAGCTTCATCATTGGTAATTCTCACTTTAGTAAATACTTAATTTATTTTTGCAACACAGTCAAATCTAAAGAAAGTACTTACTACTACTTACAAATGTAAAAGTATTTTTTTTAGAATCCAAAGTGTATTCACTTTAATATTCAGGACATTTCTTGTATGGAGAGAGTAAAGGAAAAGATCAGACCACTCTTCTCAGTATTACTTATTTGAGTTTCCGATCTAGTGTTTTTCCAATTCTGCTTCTAAGGAAAAGACTTGAGACTCATTTTGATACCACTATGTTTTATGCTAATTCTGATGTAGATCCAAATATTTTAGTTCAGAGAATCTTGCATTGTTTGTGATTGTATTCAGTATTGTATTAAAATCAGTTGCAACTGTTTTACTAGCTATGATTGTATCCAGATAAGTGTTCAATTAACTATTCTGTATTAGTGTTGATCAGTTTGTGTTGTAACACCCAATTATTGCATGTTATTACATGATGCACATGGAATGGTACTGCACTTGGTTCATTTTAATGTTTATTATGTATTTCCAGATGGAGGTAGAAGGTGAAAAGGAGCGATTACAAACAGATGAGAAGGAGCACAATGAGGCAGAAACTGACAGAACCAGTGATGAAGAGGAAGACTCCGAGGGCGCCACTCTACTCTGGCAGGAGGGCTACAATGAAGATAATGAGGGACTACCCATCATGCACTGGGAGGCCCTGAGTCTACGCATTGCGGAGCTGGAGAAGCAAGAGGAGGAGCGCAGAGAGAAGAATGCAAAGGTGGGACACGTCAGACAGAATGATTAGTTGATATTTAATAATAGCGTTTTTATAAGTAAATATTTTAAATTGTACTGAGATAACAATGCTGTGTACAGTTCAGACAGACAATGTCATAAAGTGATTCTATAAAACAACGGTTACTCAGAGATGCAGCAGCTCAAAGGCACCATGCACCTGATGTACGATTGTTGTACTTAATGATGAATCAAGACTGGCGCGGTTGTCATTGTGTTCGCAGAGAGTAGGTTAATAGTCCAATCCGGGTATCGATCCGAACATTTCTGCGTAAAGTTTACGTGCTTCTTTAGTACCAGTTAACTTTAATTTGTGCTCGTCCCTCTTCAAAGATAGAACTACTCACGTTTTGAAAATGATAATTCCTTAAAGATAATGACAGAAATAATCTACTATGAACTACTACAGCTACAGAAAAAGTCACAAAGTTATGACGGTCAAAAAGGTACATACATTACACTTCTAAAGGTACATTACACTTAATTTGACTGCTCATGTAGTGACAAAAGAAGCTCTTTTTATCAACATTTTATATCCTGCATGTTTTTGTTTCGTTTTTTAAAATAAAAATGCATGCCTCTTCATGCAAGTTGCCCTTGTCCTAATTGCATGAAGGTTTAAATGCAGAGACAGATTTCCCTCCAACGACAGTAGAGAAGACCTGACATTGTTCTTGTGTCATGTATGGGGTCTTCCTCCAGGCCGGTGGGTCGCCTGATAACAGTTGGATGGAGGACAGAGGGACCAGAGCAGAGAACTGGGACTATGAAGACGACGCCTGCAACAGTCACGTCATGGCCCTCACCTCTCGGTAAGAACTCTCCTCACACTTGCTCGTGTTATATGTTAACTCGTATGTAACAGTTTAGTTTGTGTGCTCAGACTCCAGACCCAGATGAACCTGCAGCTCTGCTTCATTAACAACAGTGAGAGTGAGGAAGAGGAGGTGGAAGAATGCAGCCGTAAGAAGGATGCGACCAACAACAAGGTGAATACAGCCCTTCTTGGTAAAGTCAAGTGGGTCATAAACATGAATTAAGCAATCTTAAGATCTGGATACACCAACTCCTGGCCTATGAATGTCACATTGTACCTTGAATTTTAATAATTTGAGATCAATATTTGAAATTTTGTTTTGCAGGAGTCTCCTCAGTCACAAAAGAACCCACCTCAGCCCACAGCAAAGTCAGACAAGTCCTCAAAATCATCAAAGTCCAAATCGTCCAAATCAGAAAAACCCAGATCCTCTCGAGGTTTTAGGAACACGCTGCGGAACCTGAGGGACCGGCTGAGAACCGACCACAGAACACCGGTGAGAGAACTCTGACAGAACATAAATCACACTGTAGATTGGATTCAGAGCCCACATTCTGCTGCCTACACATCTGCTTAGTCACCACACACTGGAAACACTCTGTCCTGAGAGTGAAGGAGCCTCGACTTCTGCTGTCGGAAACATGCCGCCTGTAAGTGACAAGAGCACAGCAGGAAGCGGAGACTGAGGCCGCATCGTTCTATTCATCTGAAACACATTAAGGACATGTTTTTAAGAAACGTACGGACACAATAATGTAAACTGGGTTTCCGTTTATAAAAAAGAGACCATGGTGGCTCACTGAATTCTATAACTTTTTACTGTCATGTTGTACTCAAATATTCAAGACGATAAAAGAACAAAGTGATTTATGATAAAACGTGTGTATGGAATCTAAATGGATTGTACAGGAGACAGCTGAGTGTGTGGTTTTGATGTCAATCATTTGTATTTCAGGTCTCTGCTGTTAAAGACGCTGTCATTGAGAGGAGGCACTTTGAGAGTGATGATCTTCAAAATCTCAGTATTAAGGAACTAAACAAGGTTTCTACCTCCCTCAAACAAACCATCCAAGGTACAGCACTTTGTTTATTAATGTTAACCCTTGGTCTGTCTGAATCCACATCACAGGGAACATTTAGTACAGTATCAGCTTCTGTCTGCCTACGCTGCAAAACTGTTGAAAATAATAATAGAAAGAGGAAGCTATGTTGTTAAATATTAGCAAAGATGTGTAACGGGCGGAAGTCTTCAATTTCATGTTTTCTAGAAATGTGGCATTTCACTCTTGTCCTATAGTGACAAATACAACGTCCTATAGTGACAAATACAAAGTCCTATAGTGACAAATACAACGTCCTATAGTGACGAATATAAAGTCCTATAGTGACAAATACAAAGTCCTATAGTGACAAATACAATTTCCTGTAGTGACAAATCTAAAGTGAAGAGTATTTGTGAATCTACAATAGTGCATGCAAGTCTGCAGCACTGTCTAACCTCGGTGCACTCTCAGATCTGAGCTCGGAGCTGGTGGGACTGCTGCAGATCCGGGACCAGCTGAGGACGGAGCAGGACGCCATGCTGCTGGAGGTGCAGGACCTGACTTCAGTGTGAACCCTGTTATTCAGGACAATGTCCAAAACACAGGCTCACACAGTGACCCGCCTCCGAATAAGAGGCGTCCACATCTGGACTGAATAACACTTGAAAGAATGTGTCCTCCAAAAGGACAGTGGACTGCACATTGTTTGTTGTTTTTAAATGTTTATCATGTATTTTAATTCCACTACAGTGTATCAACACACTTATAAATACAGAACCCTGTGTGATCTGTGGAAGCTGTGGTAACGAACGAGAGAAACCTGCTCCAACATGTTCAGAGTGGTCAACATGTGTTTTTGAGCGAGTTTGTCGTTTCCCACCTGGTCTGTTTGAATCAGTATCAGCGTTTCAAAGGACGAGTGCCTTCCTCGTGGTTTTGTATTTTTTTTAAATGCAGTATTTTACTGTGTAAAAGGGACGTAAGTAGTTAAGCTGCTAGTTACTATTTAGGTGTTATGTATGTGTTAACATACTAATGTTTTTAAAAAGAAGCATTTTTCATAATGTCTTGCATGTCTCAAACATACTTTGTAATATAACGTTTGATGATTGATTGTATTTTTAAAAGAAGCTTTAACTTTTGTATTCTACAGTCACCACTCCTGTGTCCCATCTGACTCATACATTTCCTGATGGATGTACTTTAAGTTATGATAAGCAATGACTATCCCATTACATTTCATTTGGTCAAGTGCATTATGATGGTATGATGTCATGCTGTTTTGTACCATATTTTAGATATAATTGCAATTACTAAAACAGTCCAAACTGAACTGAAAGGGTAACGTCTTATTACATACACAACATTGACACGTGCAGACAAATGGGAGTTGAGCTGATGAGACCAGATGGGAGGGGCTGTGTCGCCATAGAAACATGGGATTGCAGAAGGAGCTGAAAAGAGTAAAAGCAAAGAGGCCAAAGTGGTGTAGGGCACTAATGGTCTCACCTCCACCAGCAGCGAGTGACCTGCATCCAAGGGCCCCATTATTCCTGGATATTCTCTAACACTGTAGAGAAACTTTGTTCTGGATGATTGATGTATCTCGTTATTATTCCAATGGGACAGACACGGCACAGCCCTCTGAAGGTAAGCTCTTGGCACAACACAGAGATACAGGTATTTATGAGTTTAGGGCAATTTACTTCCACACTATTTATGCATTTGGGAAGACAGTCTATTTTAAACTGAGTCCTGTAAACATGGACTATATACAAATTGATAATCTTCCCTTAAAGAAACTGTTCTATAGATATTATCATATGCGTTAGTATTGTTTCATTTCAGAAATATGACCTTTTCATTTAATGAATGTTTAAATAAGTCCAATCCGAGCACCCTCCTGCAGATGTATACATGAATTGTTTGGAAACAGATTAAGAACTCACTAAAGCAATTACTTTCTTTATTATACATGACTTATCATTATGAAAGTAGTATTCCTTAACTACACCAGTGTAATAATAGCCTAAAGGTAGTTGATAATAATGAATGATGGGGAAATTACCTGAAGGCCCGTCCAGTTGGCCTTTTGAGTTTATAAAAGACCAGACCAACACATGTTTGATGTATTGGTCAAAAACATGTCATGTTACTGGTTGACACATTACCCATATTTACTTGAGCTCAATAGTGCTGGTATAAGCTGCCAATGGCTCACTGAGCATTAGCAGAACACTCAGGCGCACCTGCCTGTGTGCTGACGCTGACATGGAAGTCTCCAGCTGAGAGAGATGTGCTGGACTCTGCATCTGTCACAATAACGCACTGTGCACTTCAGGTCACACAGACACTCGCAATAGGAAAAGTACTGGGAGATTATGGGGCAATGACTGATGAATGGGGATGAATGAGGGAGTGGGCCAGTGCGGTTACTTATTGGTAAGTTAATGAGGTGAGAAGAGACTGAATCAGCAGCATACCCCTGTACACAGGAAGGCAAACACACAGCAGTACACAGGAGGTCAGATTGCGCAACGTCCACTGTCCCCTCAACTTCTTTCCGTCTTCTGGGAAACGAGAGGACATAAATATCTTAGTAATCGTGACACTTAGATGGAAAAATATCAAGGGGCAAATAAGGTGTTAGTTCAAATGGCAAAGGACACTTATTGCTCCATATTTTATGATGATCTGTCTGGACTGACCGATCTCTCTTTTCTCTGATCCCAGGGTCCAATGGACTTCTTTCTGGAATCTATTCACCAAATGAGTGACTGAGCTCAAACACAAGGATGCAGAAAGATTGTGTACTCCGAATCACGCTCTTTCCCCTGTGGCTGGTCTGAAGACGGTTTTTTACAATGGCCCCCAAAGATCAACTGCACCCTAACACCAGCAGCCCTACCCTCCATGACCTCCTCAACTTCAGCGGGGCAACTTTCTCCCCATCTCCATCCCCCTCCCAGCTGGCTCCCTCCTGCAACATCGACGAATCCTACAAGTACATCTTCCTGCCCATTTGCTACTCCTTCACCTTCCTCTTCAGCCTCTCCCTGAACTCTGTTGTCCTAATTCGCTCTTTCCGTCGGACCAAGCGTTGGAATGCCTCTCTGATCTACATGGTCAACCTGGCATCCACAGATTTCATGTACAGTCTGTCACTGCCCTTCCTCGTGGCTAGTTACGTCATGAGAGACCGCTGGGTTTTTGGGGACTTCATGTGCCGTTTGGTGCGTTTTCTTTTCTACTTTAACCTCTACTGCTCCATCTTCTTCCTCACATGTATCTCTGTGCACAGGTACCTGGGCATCTGCCACCCCATGAAGACCATAACACTAAAAACAAAACGGGCAGTCAAACTCACGTGCGTTTTGATTTGGACTGTAGTTTTTGCACTGACTTGCCCAATCTTCCGTTTTGCCCAGACTGGTTCTGTAACAAGGGTGACAAGTTTGACCAGCAACACCAGCTCACTTCATGGGCAAATCACCACAAGCGATTTTATGAATGGGAGTCGCGGCCATAGTGCCCTTGTAGGTGTTATTGAAGAGTATCAGAACTGTTGGGATGATGCTATAGACAAGGAGTTTTCACTGTATGTACCCTACGGAATCACTCTACACCTGCTTGGCTTCTTTATACCGTTCACGATCATAGCTTGGTGTTATTCGCATGTTGTTTTGACCATATTCAGGACCTTGCACTCCCAGCCAACATCCTGCAAGTATCCAAAAGACAGAGAAGACGCACATAAGGCAAACAGTGATGACAGGAGAGGGAGCAATGGTGTGAGATGGACCAGAACTCCCAGGCATAACGATGGGATGTCTATTTTCCTGGGTGCCCACTCCCCATATGCCAATCGCAGACGCAAATCCATCAAAACCATCATCACCATCACTTTGCTCTTTGCCTTGTGCTTCTTTCCATTCCATGTGACAAGAACCATCTTCTTCCTCCTCAAAGTGACCAAAGGGGTTCCATGCAATACTATGACTATGGTGTCCATGTGCTACAAGATTACCAGGCCGTTGGCATCCTTCAACGCTTGGCTCAATGCCCTCCTCTACTTCTTAACCAAAGACAAAGGCGGGGCGCAGTGTTGTGAAAAGGTCAATCCACAGCAGCAGCACGCAGGGGCCCTCCTGGTGCCTCTCAGGGCCAAACCAGATCCCGGAGAGGACGCAGAGAAAGATGAGCCATAAGGACCAATAACTAATTAAATCAAATTAATTTGTTGTTGAATTGACCTGAGAAAATACAGTAGTATAAACTTTGAAGATTGTATAACTGTGAGGCTCTAAACATGATGTAGCACAAACAGCTAGGTCTTACTTTGATTTTGCCTTTAGTGTAGCACTGAGTACTAGGGTTCCTTCCGTGTCATGCCCAAGGGTAATTAAGACAAAGTTGAAAATAAAGATGATTACACTCCTAAGTGCTTTGTGATGTTATTGATTATAATGTGTCTGCTCGCATAAATGATAATATAGTGCTTATAGTGTCCAATACCATATGGAAACCTTGCTTCAGTTTCAGTTCAGTGGCTACAGGGTGGATAATAAATCATAAATTGCTTGTAAAACTATTTGTAAAGGTAAGATAAAGTTTTAAATCAACGACATATTTATGTGTACATGGTTTACTAGATGTGAGAACAAGCAAACAAGTTTAGCTACAATCTAATTGAAAGCTTCTTTGCTAGGGATGGGCATGAGTGGTGTGTACGTGGGTGGTTGGAAAAGCCAACGGCACTGATGAGTTGCCTCATTTGCATCAGTCTGCCTCCGGGCAGATGTGGCCACTGTTAGCAGGCTTATATCTGCATGAATGGCTAGTACTTTATAAAGAGGTCCTTGTTCCCATGAATTTTTCTTCCAAATTTTGTCATAAAAGTTATCTCCATTGAGAATACACTTTTCACGGCTTCATTCCATTTAATGTGGCAGGAGGCGTGATATTCCACTATGACACATGTGCACATACTGAAGCCTTCACTCATTATTATTGGTAACCAAATACGTGTACAAATTAGCTGGATTCCCCCCTTCAGCCTGTGCGCCATGCTCAAAATGACCACTAGGGGGAGACAGCTCAATTGTTCCAAGAATTCAAAAATTCAAAACACGACAACTCAACTTCCCGACCTGCACCGCGGCCCATGGGAGCAGCTACCGTTACTAAAATAAATGAAATAAAATAAGTAAAATTCACACACGCAATATTTTCAAGATTGAGACACATAGTTATGTAGCTCCGGGGCTGAAGGATATTTTGATGTGGGTGTCCCGTGGGTGTGTGCGTGTTTGGCGGTGTGTGTGTGTCCGCTGTGTGCGTGTGTGTGTCACGGATGTGGACAGAGCAGCGGAGGAGTTGGCGCCACTTTCAAATCCCCCTCAACACAGAAACACTTCAAGACTTCAAAAACCTTTCTGCGATACCAAAGCCTTATTTTTCAGCCTCGCTCTCATTAGATATTTTTGCTTCTTGAATTCCTTGGGTTTCCTAATTTTTCCAAAGGTGAGTTGTACATATGTTATTTTTTTATGGCTCTGTATAACTTTGTATGCGCTCATTGTCAGATGTGTTGCTAGGTAACGGTGCGTATGAACAGCTGCTTCTAAATGAACGCGCGGTTCCTTTGATGTGAGAGCGCGAGGCTACAGCCGATGTCCGCGTTCAGTTTGCACGACTGACTGATCCATCCATCCGCTCTGCTGTATGTGACCTATCTATATTTTAATCATACACATTCCTCTATGCATAAACAAGCAACAAAAACATAATTAATCTAATCAATTATAAACATCTTTTAAAAGTAGCGGACACACCCCCTGTCAAAGCGAAAGCCCCCTCCCAGAGACCCCAGCCCACTTGAGGAATGCCTCACAAAACTGCTATACAGTTCCTCAATGTAAATGATGACGCCGCCTTTTCCTCGTGCAGAATATGCTCATTACAATCTAAAGGAATGTGCTGAGATTTTTTTGGATCACGAGATACAGCGTTTAATACACATCAAACGCTTTGTGTATAACCGTTGATTTTATTACTATTGCAATGAGTTTGAGGAAATGTCTAGGTTTATATAAGGCACACATGAATTAAAACCATTAATCAAATTAAAAACTACTGCTACTACTTGAAGTGACAATGTTTGACAAATATAGTCAGACTCATGATGAACACTCATTACTGCCCTTACAACCGTCACCTTATACTACATTTATACCTGATGCAGTCACTTATACCTGCAATATAAAATGTGTACTTACTGTGCACTTGAATATAGTTAAGTAAAATATACAGTAAAGTAAAAATAAGCTATGAAGATTTTTTTATCCATGCCTTTTTTGTTTGTATAACTTGTTCGCACCATAAGCATTCTAGGACTACATTTTCAACCTTTGATGATTTATTGCATAAAGCACTGTCCATCCATCCATCCATTTTCTTCCCTTTAATCCATTTCTGGGTCAGGGGGGTGGCAGTCAGAGATGCCACCCAAGTCTCATAGCACCAGCCCCTCACTGACCCTCTGCAGGTGGTGAGTCCACAGGAGGACGGCTGCTCTCTGAGTGTGAGCATAGCCTTGATCTTTCAGTGGGGGCTTTGGGCAAAGTGGGGTTAAGTGTCTTGCCCAAGGACACAACGACAGCAGTCATCAGTGGGAGTCGGTGGAGAAGGTGCAGAGGTGGGAATTGAACCCACGACCTTCTGGCCTTAAGGCCAATGCTCTACCAACTGAGCTACTGTCGCCCCTGTGAAAAAGCACTGTGAAAACTGAAATTTCAATAGAAACAAAGTTTTGCAAAAACAGTCTATAATGCGAATTTCTTACAATGGCAATACAAAAATAATGGTCAATCTATCTATTGGTTCATACTATTGTTTAACAGCCAAGTCAGTATAAAAGTGCACATGTGAAACCAAAGAGACTCAACGTTTGTGTTTCAGACCCTCAATGACTCAGCTGGAAACAGGATCCTCTCTCCAGGGCTCGCTCCAGCAGCACATCATGATTTGCAGTTTGTTCTGAATGGCTTCAAACCCTGATGTGCTGCTCCCGTGCGTCCTGGGCCCAGTTCAGCTCACGTCAAGCCCGGACCATAGACGACAGCTCCCTCTAAAGAGTGGACAAAAAGAGGACACACGTCTCCTATGACGTGTTGAAATGAAGAGTGTATAGTGTGTCAGGCTTTAGCAGCATGTCATTACTGGTACATCGTCAAGGCACTATACCAGCGAGTGACAAGCTGCTTCAGTCAGGTACCATGAACACAGCCCGCCCCCACTGGTATGGAGTCAATATGATAATTGTTTTACAGTTTGGAACCACACGTGTCCACCGTCAACTTTAGTCTTTTGTCCCAGACCCTCATGCTGCTAACATGTACAGATGTATACATACAACTAGATATTTATTGCACTTGGATATACAGTACTTTACCCTTGTTTTTTTATGCTAAAGTCAGAGATTTTATACCTGCTTCCTTATTATACCGTTATGTAACTGGTGATGCGACATTGAAATTTCTCCCCTGTAGGACAAACAAAGATTCCCTTATCTCATTGAATAAAAAAATACAACTAAAGGCACGTATGTGTATTTGTGTAGTCTTACAAAATGATCACAAATGGGAGTTTGCTCTTTACAGAAAACTATTTATACTAAAATAACAAATATCCAAACAAAATACAAAGGTTTATAAAATTATTTTACAAGTAACGTGTCCTATTAAAATAAAGAAAACCTGAAAAGTGGGAGGTCAGCGTGAGAGCAATGAAATGTCACTGGGATTCATGATGAGACTGGAGTCCAGGTTTAAATTATCTACGGAAATAGAAAAGTCAAATTATTATTGTTAATTACAACATAATGAATGAATCTTGAGATGAGCTGGTGTTTACCTTGATCAAATGTGTTGAGTTTCTTTGGGGTCGATCCGTCTCCGAGCCCCTCGATGTCCACCAGGTCACTGTTGACGTCCGAGTCATTCAGAGCGCTGAGAGTCACATCTTAAAAGACCAAACAAGTTAAGTTGTAAACCTATTTTTTTTTATTTAAAGTTTGAATTAATGTACACAGGTGACCCACACAAACACAAACAGTCCTGTACATGGTCTGCCCTTCTGGTCACTCACCTACTTTTATTGAACTGTATTTATTATTTAAGTTAGTAACCGGTACCTTTTATCTGAAATGTATATTAATCAGCAAGTTAAATGATTGTATTGTCAAGGACTACAGGTGGAAAGTAACATGTTGCTAAATATTGTGCAGCCATCTTTTTAATGTAACTGCACATTGTCCTTAACAAATTAAACTCCAAGGATCTGCACTGAACTTTTCCTGCTGATTACTTTGGAGACATGCAGGAATAAATATGTAAATATAAATGGTGCAAAGGGTGGAATTAATGCAAAGAATAAGAATGTTTCATTTGTATCATAGCTTATGTAGGACACACCAGAGTAGGTATTGTCTGTCTACTCTAGAATATCACGCTTTTAAAATTCAAGGAACATTTTCTAGCTGGCAGCATTACTGCACCGTGTTGTTCAGATGTAATACAGACATTTGAAAACAAGAACTAAAAAGTCCACCCAGTTCTACTTTCAGATTAAGAGATTAAGGAAAAATGAACCGTCTCTCCCGCCCTGGGTATTGCGTTCATGTTTTTGTGACATCCGTCTGATTTAGAGTGTGTGATGTGTGTTTTTGTTGCAGAACGGGAACATGAAAATCTGCATTGTTAAAATATCCATTGTGTGCATTTGTAAAGAAAAATCCGAATTTGTTACTCCCAGTTGCTTACAATGGCAAACAAATAATAATAATTCAGATTTGGATTCTAGCCTGTTATAGAAGCAACACCATATAGTTAATCATTCTGTCTGGCCAAGCAGCCATTTTTTCCTCCTTTTATTTTCCTTGAGAGATGGTAATGTCTCACCTCCTGTCTTTTGTTTTTTCAGAGGAAGTTGGGCTGAAGTCAGAGTCTGGATTCTTGGGGCAGTGTTGACGACCTGACCAGCAGGCACAGAGACTACAGTGGCCTGTCTGGCCATAGCTGCACTAGTCTTCTTGCTTGTTTTTTTAGGCCCATCAGAAGACATCACAGAGCAGTCTCCAAACATCTTCCTCTTAACTGTGCTCTTGGTCTGAGTGCTGATGACAAAGACAGACTGGTTACTCAGGGTCCCAGTGTGATGAATATTATGATGTTTACCCTGCAGGACTGGCATCAGCCACAGGGTGAAGCTGCATGGTCAGCTCTCCCAGTTTGGTGAAGGCTGCTCCAGCAGCAGAGAAGATTTCTCCCACCTACAAGAAGAACGGACACATAAAATACAGTATAAACAAAAACAAACCTAAATACTCTTTAGATTATATGGTAACCTAAATCCCACAGAAGTCGATACGATAGGACCCATACATGAAAGATCACTGAGGTGTTTGTATGTTTACAAACAGGCTGCATGTAGCACCACATGGTCACATTAAAGACCACATAAACCCAAACTAAACGTGAACAGGAGCTTACTTTAGTCGAAGCTGAGGTCATGATGCCGCTTTGCACAGGTATAAATAAATATTTTAAAGACGTGAAACAAACGCCTTCAATGCAGAGTTAAGATGCTAACCCAGAGGCTAGCTGCTACCGGTGTTCACAACAGCGAGAAAAACGCCCATGTGTTTCCTTTAGCTACAAAAGAAGTCCTCTCCACGAACCTCTGGACTCACACATGAACAGGGTCTACGTTTGTGTAAATCATAAGAGTTCTGCTAAAACTACACATTAACCACAGCCATATTTAGAGTCTTGAGGGGCTTCAGCTCGTGATGCATTCACGGAGCTTTTTCACTGCGGGATTTTCTATTATCTAAAGAAACAATTGAAATGCCAAATGTTAAGAGTTTATTATCATCTTGAACACTTTTTTTTTTGTCATAGCAGCCAGGTTTATAGAAAAACCAAAGACAAGGCTTCTGCAAATACAGGAAGTGCAAGTTTCTTTGTAACAGTAAAAATAAGTCCAAAGCAGTTTTGCAATAAATACGTTTTTTAAATATTTTAATGAGACAAGTAAATGGCAATACACATATTTTCTTTACATATAAATGCATGTTGTGGAACTTGTGAGGATATTTCCCTAACATGAATCACATGTTTAAACAGTTCACAGTAATTTAATTGACTAAATCAGTCCAGTTTATAAATACTGTACCGTATCAAATTCCACCAAGTAGGTTAAACATTTCTTATATTATGTTGTTTCACTATAGGTTAATATAAGCTTGTTTACCCCTTTCTACAGTTACCCACATGTTGTACTGTACAGTATTTACATTAGTTTTTTATATAGTGATACTGTTTTCAACTCGGCTGGGCAGCAGAACCAAATACTGCAGCTCTTGTCCCTCATTCTCGCCCAGGATCTGCGTCTCGATCTCTTCCAGCTCCTTCCTGAACTTTTCAATTAAATCATGTGCCTCTTTCTCAGTGAAGTGCTCCTCCGTGTAGTGGCCCAGCGGCACCTGCTCAGAGAGAAAACATTTCACACTAAACCGCGGACAAAAACACACAATGTCTGGAAACAAGTTGCACCTACAGCGTCTGGCTGAGGTCGCCCCAGATGCCACGTGATCGCCATCTGCAAACACGACTGACTGACATCCGGCAAGGTCGACATGATGGTGTCCATGGTAACCGCATCCTTGTCTGTGGGAGGGGGCTGCCTCATAGTGCAGGGCGTGTTTGGGATCCATGCGCACCAATCAAACTGAAACCAGGAGATTCAAAGTCCAACTTCACCAAACTTTATTAACATTAAATTATTTATTTTGACTGCTTCATTTTGTTTTTAGAGTATCTATCTTTCTATACATAGGAGCACAGAGACTGGCCTCAAGAGGGAGGCAGCGTAGCGTATCAGTTTTAAGCAGCTAAATCCAGAACAGCCTTGTGAGAAAATGTGAGACAGGCTTCTACTCCAGGTTAAAAAGGTTATGTTTAGCTGTGCATACAACTGAGGGATATCTTCACTTGTTTTAATGCATTGTGATTTTTCTGTCTATTTTCTTGTTTTGTTAAGCACTTTGAGTTGCCTTGTGTATGAACTGTGCTAAAAAAAATAAACTTGCCCTGCCTACGTGTATTTATGTGTGAGATGGTGAGTGTGTTTATACATGTGCTGTATACTGTATATATTGTACATGTACCTGTATGCATGCTTGTGTGTGTGTGTAAACATATGTAGCTATGGACTCATACAATCTTGCTTTTCTGAGAAGTGGCAATTTAAACAGCACAAGTGACTAAAAGTATAAATATTTCAAAACAATAAATGCTTTACTTGTCCATTATTGGTAGCGGCGTGCTGAGCTGTGCATGTGATGATAATAACGGCAAGTAATGTAGATAACTCCTCCCGACTTTTGAGTGAACTGGACAAACCTGTTGACAGAGAAGCCACTACATGAATAGGACCTCGGTGACTTTGTAATAATGGAAACCGTTATATTGAAATATCAGACCGAAATCAGGCAGCTCTGCAAAGCCTTCTTCCGTCACGTCTTTGATCCAGGCCTGAAGCTCCTGGTCGTCCTCCACGTCGCTGTCTGATTCGTAGTAAAGTCCAACTATCGCAGACACAAAACTGGAAAGATGCATTTTTTAATTGGTTTTTGTAGTGAATGATCGCAGATGGAGAAAAAACAAGGTGCATTCCTCAACTGCCCAAGTGTGGATTTTGTTACACTGTCCTTTTACATTGGACACAATCTTGTGACATGTGATATTATGGACGTTGTGTACATTGTATTTTTTATTAAAGGTATATATGAGTATTTTCTACTTCCGGGTGGATCATCAAGACTATTGGTCAATCATTCTGGTGATTCGTGCTCGTCAGATAAGACCAGACAGTTTTGTTCAAAAAGTAGAGAAAGCGGTTCTTTCCTAAAATTTGGGAACATCCTTCATTATACCTTTGTTACCTCCTGTTATCTGGGAACACGTATAAAATATGTAGATGTAATTTAAAATGAAAGTAATGTATTGTATTAAGATAAGATAAGAAAAAGTTTATTATGGGATACAATGCTACATAGATCTGCATGAATGAATAAAAACAAAAAGTAAAAGGGAATATTATAGGAAAAAACATGTACAGTAGTGCTTTGAAGTCTGTTGAATTATATTATTACATTATAATATTGTATGGGTTAGATTCAACGATTCTTAATAATAAAATAATAATAACAATACGTTTTAAATAGCATTCATCAGCAGATCTTACTTGTGTATAGCGTCCCACAGCAGCAGTATCTTGTCCCTGTACAGGTATTTGGGGATTCGAGTGGTGCCTCTGTCTCTGAAGTCGAGGCGGGGCTGCAGCGAGCGGTACGTCAGGACCTTGTACTCTCTTTGAGACAGGGTCAGCAAAGCCTCGCCGCCCGTGGACACAACCTGCACACGGCGTCACAGCTGAGTATGACAGGGTGAAGACTAAAGAGTAACGTTATGGGCTGGATATGAACAGACCCGTTTAAAGATGCCGTCAGAAGAGATGAGCTGTGTGCGCCCCCTACAGTTGATCTCCAACGTGTAGCGCAGGTGTGGAGCCAGGAGCTACAAGCACAAGTAGAACGATTTATTTATGTATTATATGTTTATTTGATAGTGACAGAACAAGCAGCATTGTTAGCATTGGTCCCTAAGACAAAAATACAGCAGTTACTATTATCTATTTTAAAACATATACTACAGTATTTCTGGTACTCTGGTTACTTTTGACGTTACTCTGCACTTCATTTATGTTGAATTAATAGTCATTTATTCCAGTTGTTTGAGGGAGTATTTACTTATATAGCACAATTCATTTAATAACTGTAGTTCAACGTGGCCAACACGATAAAAGAAATAGCATTAAATCACAAACCGATATTCTAAAGGTAATCTGGGGTCGGAAAGATTTGACAATTGAGTCTTTTGTTTACAAGGAGCATGACGGGAGGAAGCTGCTTTTCCTACGTTCAGGTCTGCACAAGTTTGAGGTCAAAAAACAGGTTCATGATGCAAAAGTAAATCACAATTATATGAAGAGGCCAAACTGGGAAAAGATTTATAAACAAAGGTAAGGATTTTAAAGTCAACGAGGAGCAAAGATGGCTGATGAGTTCCCCTTTTCTCTTTAGGCTAAATTACAATAATTTAATCTGATTTAGTTACAGATAAATAGTGCATTTCTTTATGATATAAGAAAGAAAAACATATGTAATTGAGTCACTTACTCCTCAGGTAGATATAGTGTAATACTATTTAAGGGTGCTACTTTACATTGGTTTAATGTGTACAGAATTATGAATTAAAAAAAAAGTACAAACAGAACAAAAGACTATAAAACAGACTATAAAGTATGAAGTACCTTGTAAAGTGGGTGCACTGCCGGGAGCTGCCTCAAGGTGGCCACACAGAACACCTCTGCCACCAGGTGAGTGCGGAGCAGGTGTGAGAGAAGCTGGAAGATCTGGAACTCAGAGTGACGCACCCAGGCCTTGGCCAGGAGCCATGCCAGCGGGGGGTCTTTGGGCAGGAAGATGGGTGTGTCCACCCCTGGAGCCTGACCCAACTGGAGACAAAGTTTACCATAGTTACATGGTCCACTGTGACAATATGACAGAACCACAGAGAGATGTATGAGAGTAATTATACTTTTTAAACCAGAGAGAAAGAGACCAGAGAGAAAGAGACCAGAGAGAGAGCGACTAGAGCGAGAGCAATTGGGAGAGATTAGGGAGAGACCAGAGAGAGAGACCAGAGAGGGAGAGGCCAGAGAGACAGACCAGACAGAGACCAGACAGAGACCAGAGCGAGCATGACCAGACCTGGACCAGAGAGAGACCAGAGAGAGAGACCAGAGAGAGAGACTAGAGAGAGAGAGCGATTAGGGAGAGAACAGACAGAGTGACACAGAGACACAAGAGAGAGTGCAACCAGACCTGGACCAGAGAGAGATTGCAAAAAAAGACCAGAGAGAGAGAAAGAGACCAGACAGAGAGACCATGAGAGAGGCCACAGAGTGCCATTGCTACGCATACACCACAATATGAGAAGGAACGCAAAAGCATTCAATATATACGCACACAAGTCAAATAGGCACAAAGAATTCTCTACATAAACACACACCACATGTCGTACTCAGAAGCCATGCACTTTTACCTGTATGGCTATTGGAATGAGTCCAGTGTCTGGATGTTGATACAGCAGGCAGAGGGGAGCAGCTATGTACTGTTGTTTACCCTTGATGACATTAGCAGGAAGGCCCTCCATGATACTATAATCCAAAAGAAAGATGTTTCCAGCCTAGAGAAAGAGAGAGAGAGAGAGAGAGAGAGAGAGAGAAGAAAATGGTATTTACTGGGTTCTGTATCAACATTGCTTATCGTTGTACCTTTAACTCTTTCTGCAGATTGGTTTTGTGGCACAGCGAGCTCTGCACCATGTCGGCCGTCACCGGAAACTTGTCTGGAAGTTTGTTGCACTGTCGAATCATTCTGGGGTTGCAGCCGTTTAGGCACTGGTATCCGAAGAACCAGTCCTCTTTCCAGTGGTCCATACAATACTCTGGTTCAAGTGGACACGACAAGATGTAGATCATTTTATTTTTTTATTTATATTTTATTTTATTTTAATTGTTTTTATTTTAATTGAATTGTTTTTATTTTATTTTAATTGTTTTTATTTTATTTTAATTGTTTTTATTTTATTTGATTTTAATTGGTTTTATTTCATTTAATTGCTTTTATTTAAAGCTGGCAGACTTATATATTTTAATGGGCTACTTTTATCTGTACAGCACTTTGGAAACGTGTTTTACAAATTAAAGAAGATTGGATTGGATGGCAAATTTTAATTCCAACCAAGCAGGAGTCTGGTCTGCTCCTGCTTGGTTGGAATTAAAACTTAAACAAAGAATTCCAAATAAACAGGTTATTTAAACTCATGAGCTACAGTACATGCAGACTTGGGCTCTACACACCGGCTATCGGGCTTTTTAACTTCCAGAAAATGCGTTTAAAGTCTTCGAGATCGGTCCAAGACTTTCCGAACCTGATGGCAAGTTTCTTCAAGGACAGCTCCATCAATCTGAAATAAAAAAATAAAACCACACAACATCAATGTTACAAAACGTCCTGAAAACTACACAAAAAGGAGAGGATTATTGACACGCACGCATAGTGTAGGGAATGTTCAAAGTCACTTCTCTTCTCGTTGTCGAAGCGAACGTCTTGGGGAAGGTCTGCCTCAGTTTTAGCCTCGATACATTGGGGGATTCCTGAGGCCCAGCGCAACCATCTACACAACACCAAGCCAGTCAAAAAACAAACAAAAAAAACACATTTTCAAACCAATGAGCAAATGAAAGTATTTATATTTGTACCTGTATGTTTTTTGTCTCCATTTTAGCTCAGCTTTTCTGTGAGCCAAAAGTTCAGGCAACGTGTCGTCTTTGGATGTCTTTGCTGTTCGGACAAAAACCATTCAATTCAATGTATTTTTATCCAGCCCTAAATCGCAACAGCAGTGTCTCAGAGGACTTTGACAAAGTTGTCGACTCACCAACGACAGATCAGAGAATCAAACAGTCCGAACACAGGTAATACATATAATAACAAGACAGATAGGAGGCATTGGTCCATAGGGAGAGAGATGACCAATGTCCATAAATATTTAAAACAAAATCAGTGAGTAGCTAGTACAGTATAGTAAGAATGTATTTCAAATGATATGTAAAAGAAAACAATATAAGCTATAAGCAAGACACAAAATAAACAAATAATTATTTTGCTGCAACCCATTCATAAAATCTACCAATTTAACTTTAGTGTTCATATTTGACAACAACACCGTCTCCTGATTGGTAAATGTTGTCAGCGTGAGTTCAGTTCTCACCGGGGCCCGCTCTGACCTCCAGCCGTATGTCTCCGATGAGCCAGCGGTAACAGGGGAAGGTGGTCGTCTGTCCGTCTGGAGACTCCACCCTCACAAAGCGACAGAACCAGTTGTCTTCCACCCAGTATCTCTGCTTTTCCAGTCGCACCAGAAGCACACGGCCCAGCGGGAAGGGGCTGCTCACTTTGTAGTCGTCAACCTGGAAAATGACACCTGAGATTACTGTTAGTATTAGATAGCAATATGGCCTACGTGCAGGACTGTACAAGGACTCTACAAGGACTCCATGTTATGACTATGATGTGACTGTCTCTTTGTGACACGTATGTCTTTCGATGTGTGACGTGACAATGACTATATAAACTGTGTACTGCCTTTATTCTGTCTGAGAGAAAGAAACAGAGTAAACCAGTGGAACTTGAGAGAAACTTAAATAAACTTCCAGAGTTTGGCACACCCCGATCCGTCTCTGTCTGCTTGAATCCTGACAGATTTGGTGGAGAATGCGCGGCTCAGTGTGTGCCATTCTCTGGATTGTTTTGAGGGAGTTTTCTTTGTTTTCTTTTTCTCGGCGTGGGAGAGCTGAGAGTGTCTGGGGCCTGGGAGCGGTCCAGCAGGCTGGAGAGGCGACCGGCTCCGGGACTCTTTTTCGCTGTCTCACTATATTTTTTGGTGTCCTTTTTTTTGGACTGAGCGTTTAAAATTGTTTTCCCATGTCCACATTCCGGGGATTTTTGACGTGCGATTGGTCTCTGCCGATGGAAACTAGTTCCCGGTACTAGTGAGCGCTGGTTCATGATCTGGGAGACCCGGTTGGACGTGGAAAAGCTGATATTTGGTGGACTTCTGACGGTGCCTGGGCCCTGTTCGACAAAAGGTAAGAGCGGACACCTGTTTATTCAAAGTCTGCTAATTGAGTGAACTAAATTATGGTCTGTTTTGAGGTCCACCAAATGTCGTATATCTATATAGATCGGATTGGGTAAGATTCAGGTAAGCCACCTCGATAAAATGGCAGTTTAAATGATCAAAACAGGTTGCTACCTCAACAAAATAGCAGTTACGGCCAGAATAGTTAGTGAAACCATGGTGTAAAAAATAAAATAATTTTTAAAAAGGGAAACGTGTTAAGGAGGCCTTTGTTACAAAAGCTTTGAAATTGACGAATTTCAGGCTGATAAATGACAAAAGTAAAGAATCAACAATATTTCAGTGATCACGGTTTAAATTACATACAGAAAAAGGGAGTTTTTGTTTTTGGCGTGAACAGAGTTCACCGGAGAATGCAGAGTTTTATCTAAAGTTGAGCTATGAGAGCTTTCGTGAGTTATTTACATTTTTTTTGCCGAGTTTTATCTACAGTTAAGCTATGAGAGGGCTGTATCCAACAGTTGTTTTTGTTTTTTAGAAAGAGATTTTGAGTTTAAATTAGCTACCTCGATAAAATAGAAGCGTAAGGGAAATTAAAGAGTAAGAGTGCCTTTTGTTACAAGTGTGGAAAGTGATCACTTCTAGACTTGGATGACAAAAGTTTAAAGAACAACATCAGTTATATTTGCTTAGCAAAGTAATCTTGAAAGTTCTTCTTCTGTATCTTTTTGCCTGTGTGTGCACATATCTATCTGCTGCCGTTGTCAGGGAAACGGCCCCCTCCTTCGCTGCTCTGGCTCTGAATCAAAGCTACTGCTTTAGGATTTTGGCTTTTCATAGTAGTTATTCCGTTAAATTTGCGAAATTTGCCATTTGAACATTGTGTTAGACACAGTTAAACGTTTTTAAACAGCATTTAGTAAATATAAGTTTTGAATATTATGTTTTTTTAAACCCAAATATTAGTGCTAAAGCTTTGCTTTTCTTTTTAAATCTGCTGCTTATTTGTGAGTCCATTATTGTATCTCTGATATATTTCATAGCTGTTTGTGAGAATTTTTTTATGTTTTTATTTTAGTTACAAAAGCCGTTTTTCAAACATTTAAATTAGAATCTGTTAAAAGTGATTATTGATTATAGACTTCGTCTAAAAAGAAAGAGGGAATTAGGCTGTAAAAGTATTATTAAGTTAAACTACCCAATTCACCTTGCAAGTGGTGACTTTTGTTTTTGTTTTGACTACACGCCTGACCTTACTGTAGCTGATGCCACAGCAGAGGAGCCTGGTCTAAAATGTGCTCCAATTCATACTGACTTCATTTGAAAAATGCTGCAATTATTTTAAATTAGTAAAATATATGCTGAGATAAATGCATAGATAATTAAACACAGTACAAAAGTACATAATACATATTTTAAAGTTTAAAGGTTTTTTGAGATTTGAGTCTTGTTTTTTTATATTAAGAGTTTCTGGTCTTAAAAATGTCATCATTAGTAAGATAATAAGTAATCTTTTATTTACATAGCGCTTGGGAAAACCCAGAGCGCTCCAAAATTGTTTTGACTTCAGAGAGAAAAACAATCTCATTCGCATACTGATATCTATTGTTTTTTTAAATTGGCCGTCTCAAGGATTGTTTTTCAGACTCTGCCTCACTGTACGAGAGGTCACTGCTGGACTGGACACTGAGGGATCAGAACAGTGGCCCAGAGTAGACACCATCCAACCAGCCGCAGATCGTAAAGGCGACATAGCTACCTCCGTGTGCCCCTCCCCCACTACAGACCGATGGTCGTAAGTGGCAGTGAGACCGGGGCCACAAAGTGGAGGTTTCTGGAGGCAGTGATGGGTGGAGCGTCAGGTAGAGACCTAGAGGCAGTTCAAAGTGTGTCCAGTTGGTTTGCATCACCACAGTGTGACCTTTGACACCTACAGGTGGTTCGAGGAGTCTGGAGACACAACCCCAAAATTTACATACACACACACACACACACACACACATACATTCATACACTCACACATTCACATTTACATATAGATACATGAAAAAGTAGAACATGAGAAAAAAGCATTTTAAAAGTTTACTCCAATGTAAACACATATTTTTAATTGTCTATCACTTGAATCAGTATTTTTTGGGACCAGAAATGTTCATTTGAATTCTATATTGTCATGGACTAATTGACGTCTGTCCTGACACTTTTGATTTGTTGATTTTGTACTGTGTGAAGTAATTACATTGATGAGGATTAGATCTGATAAAAATACAAATTAGAGAAGTAAACTGCGCTTGCTTTTGTCTGAGAGACATTAGCAACAGCATGAATAGAAATTGTGTTACATTAGAATCAAAGTGACTTAACCATAGAGAGTAACTATTGCATAACAAGCTGTGTACAGGAACTGTGACACTGCACCATTGACCAGAAGTGCATCGCAAATGACCTGATGTGCTTCAACTGAAAAGACTGTATCTGGAGATCCTGATGTGCATCTGGAGAGACCAAAACCATGGCTTGGACCCTACTGATGACCAAGATGACATCTCTCGAAATATGACCTGACCTGATGACGACTGAGTCTCACCCTCAGAGGACCCTGAGGACCTGAGGACCTGAGGACCTGAGCGAAAAACCTGGGGAGTGATGTTTATATTTTTGAAATCATACATTGATGAGTGCTAAATGAGAGAGATACTCATGATTCTTTCTTTTGTTTTTGTTTGTCCCTAGCTTCTGGACATCTGATGATCTATTGGACACAGACATTTGCAGAACAAGAACCAGCCAATGAAAAAACGTCTATTGCCGATGCTATTGCTACAACCAGAACCTGTGACAAATGCAATATACATGTTAAGTATTCAGACATCTGACAGACAAAAACTTTGACTTTTTAGTCTGGGAGACTGAGCAACTGTTAAAATGTTTTAAAATGATAAAGTATGAGTATTGTAGCGTTTTAGTAGATGTTAAATAGTAGTAAAAAAGTAGAATTTGACTTCCTTTGTTTTTCATAAACACATTTCCACATAAGAGTTAAAATAGTACCCTACAATGTTATCCTTTTGATAGATCAGCTATAATATTAGAATCAGAGTATTTTAGAGATATTAAAAGTGACAGAAGTCACAAATTAGGAATATGCCTTTGCTCAAATTGCAGCCAAACTTTGGAGTCACAATAGTGTAGAAATAGAAATACAGTAGATAAATGCATCAACCATAGATTCTTTCAAAAATAGAGATTATTTGTAGCCAGTGCTAATATCAAATGGTAGAGGGACCATTTCACAAGCATTTACTTCAAAAGTAGATAAAGTTACTTACAGTTTTATGTACAGTTTTATTAGATACTTGCCAAATTCACTTGTGTTCACACATGAGTGAATGTTGACAATGCAAAAGTCCATATGAGTGTAGTCTAGATTAATGCCTAGATTAATGAGATAGATTACAACCAACAGAGATTCAAAAGCATTTTGATGTATTTGTGTATAGCACAAAAACACAATAGTAGATATTTAGATATTGAGAAGTTTCCAGCACAAACACCATTGTAAGTAGATAGTATAGACGGCGATATTGAGCAAGTGGTGAAAAGGTGGTACTGCACCCTAAAACTCCCCAGAAAAGAGACGGCGCTCTTGAGCAAGTGGTGAAAAAGTGTTACTGCACTTTTTTTTTTCAAAGAGTTTTAATGAGTTAGCTTCAGTTGACCCTGTGTGTGTGTGATAAAGTAAATGCTTCACAGTTGTCTAAAGTGATTTATGATCACGGTTTATTCTAAAACAGTTAGGAATAGCTAAGCTGCAGGGGAGGACCTGTTAACGACACTTAGGTGTGTGTGTGTGATAGCCTTATCATGATGACGGTTGGGAGGTCGTACTAACAACAAATCAGAATGGGTGGGAGGTCTGTTTACACCGTCCTATTAGACTGAGGAGGGTTTGTGATAGGTTGCTCTGTTTAAGGAGGCCCTATATAGGCCTCTGATTACACATAAGAATAACTTTTTTTTTTTCTACACCAAACCAAGCAATGCCTACTCCTCAAAGATCTCAAACTTTTTTTTTCTCCAAAGTGTGGTTATTTTCCAAAAGAGGTGCTGAAGTTCCCATGTTATCCAATGAAAAGGACTGGGATGGACAACTCACAGATTGTGTGGTAAAAAAGTGGGCACATTTACAAAACTCTGATATTCACTAAAACTTGATCTTCTGTTGTTCAATACTGCGGCCTAGGTCACATGGATCTGTGGTTGAACATAACATTGGCCCATTAGCGCCCCTACATGGCTGGAGGAACATGTTTACATGGGGATAAAGGT